TTATATTAAATTTTGTTCATTTTAATAAACATTTACAGAGATTTTGGGTTTTCATTCATTCATTGTTGCACTATTTTCTCTACCCTCCTCCCCAGTTTGTTCTTTTTTTTTCCCCCTTGAAAGTCTCTTAATTGTCCAATTGCCACAGTGCTCATCAAAGCCAGTTCTGATTAATCTCCTTTGCCATTTTTTTAAGGAATACAGACGCCACTTCCATGACTGCACAGGGTACAGACATTGACCTAACTTTTGCCAGGAGCTGAAAAAGATAAGACTCTTTCCATCAGTCAAAATCCTGGAAACACAGACTACTTTACAAGGAGGCCTGACCATTATAGAAGCAAACCACCTATTTGTAGGATTTTTGCTTTTTTTTGCACAAGGTCTAAAGGACCAACCTCTTGGGTTTGCCCCCTGGTGCTTAACCAAGGCACCAGACTCTTGTTTCTGGGTGGTTTTCAGGAGATTTTCACTCAGAGAGACGATATATAATGGAATAGACCCTTCCCAAAAGATTCCCAAGGTTTCAATGTGCAAAAAAGGCCTTATTCCTCTTGGCCACCTTCTTGGACCCCCTCAAAACAGGACCTACCTTCTTCTCCCCTGGAAGTCTGAGCACCAGCTAAAGTGCTTCTTCTTGGATACATTATTCATGGGGATATTTTTTTTTAATTATTTTTAAATTTTGTTTTGATTCATATATGACGTGTTCCCCCTGGACAAGGTTTTGTTGTTGGTGGTGGTTTTGTTTTTGGGGTTTTTTGGGTGGTTTTTTTTGTTTGTTTGTCTGTTTGTTTTGTTTTGTTTTGTTTTATTAGGATGGCTTTTGTTTTTGGGGCTTTTTTTTAATAGTCAGTGGTCCAGGAAGCATTTCAGAGAAAAGTAACAAAACCAGCAACACACTTTGGGTTTAATTTTTTTTTTCTTCCCCAAGTAAACTTAATTCTTTTCTCTGAAATGTTTGTAAGAGAGGTTGACTTTGTAGAGGAGTTTTACATTTTTTTGGAGTTTTTGTTTTTAATTTTCATTTATTCATTGTTGCATATTTTTCTCCCTTCCTCCCACCCAGTTCATTTTTTCCGAGATTTTATTTCGCATTTGAATTTTTTTCATTATTTGAGATTTTAATAAAAGTGTAACAAGAACTTGGATTTTCAGGGATTCTTTTCCATACACATGAATTCATTTTAATAAAATGAATAAAAATTTAAAAAATGAATGAAAATGAATTCATTTTAATAAAAGTTTACCAAGCACTTGGATTTCCAGGCATTCATTTTCATACAAATGAATTCATGTTAATAAAATGAATAAAAATGAAAAAATTAATTCATTTTAATAGAAGTTTAACAAGCACTTGGATTTCCAGGCATTTATTTTCACACAAATGAATTCATTTTAATAAAATGACTAAAAATGAAAAAAATGAATAAAAAGAAATTTATTTTAATATAAGTTTAACACGAACTTGGATTTCCAGGTATTCGTTGTCAAAAAATATTCATTCATTGTTGCACAGTTTTCTACACACCCCGTTCCCCCGCCCTCGTATCCAAGGTCCATTTTCAGAAAAATGTGTCACAAAGTAGAGTTTTATGTCCTCTACCTGTCCGGATGAGGTGCAAGGGTCTCTGATGCATAGTTAACGTGCAGGACAGAGCAGAACTGACCCTGGATTGTCCTGCAGCTGGACAGGGACTGAGGATGACAGAAAAATGCCTACTTTTGAGCAGGGGTGTTGGAGAAAATCACTATACACCCCATGGATGGTCAAGTCAACAATCAGATCTGCTGTCCATGGGGTCACTATCATTTCTTTCTGTCAGGCGGACCGGACAATGTCTGATGCAAACACCTGTATCAACATAACAGCAATTCGTCGTAACGTCTTCAGAAATGTTTTGTCTGTTTGGAAGGTTGTCCAGATGGCCATATTTCTGTCTTTCATACTCACAGGTGTGTACGAGACAGAGAGACACACGCTGAGAAGGGGATGAGGGGAGAGAGACGTAGGAAAATTCTGGGAAGAGAGAGACACACTGGTGCATGGATGGGGAAAGGAGGCAAAGATGGAGGAGATAAACAGGGAGACAAAAAAGACGAGAGAGAGAAACAGAAAGACACAGAGAGAGAGAGAGACAGACAGAGACAGAAAGAGAGAGAGAGAGACAGGGACAAAGAGAGAGAGAGACAGAGACAGACAGAGACAGAAACAGAGAGAAAGACACACAGAGAGAGAGAGAGAGACAGGGACAAAGAGAGAGAAAAACAGAGACAGACAAAGAAACAGACAGAGAGAGACAGACTGAGAGACAGACAGAGACAGAGAGAAAAACAGAAACAGAGACACAGAGAGAGAGAGACTGAGAAACAGAGAGAAAGACAGAGATAGAGAGAAACAGAGGCAGAGAGAGACAGACTGAGAGAGAGACAGACAGACAGACACACAGAGAGAGACAGAAACAGGGAGAGAGACATGGAAAGAGAGAGAGAGAGAAACAGAGACAGAGACACAGACACGGACAGAGACAGACTGAGAGAGACAGACACAGAGAGACAGAGACAAAGAGAGAGACAGACTGAGAAACAGAGACAGACAAAGACAGAGACAGAGAGAGAAACACAGACAGACAGACTGAGAGACAGAGAGACAGAGACAGAAACAGAGAGAAAGAGACAGAGAGAGAAACAGAGACAGAGAGACAAGAACAGAGAGACTGAGAGAGACAGAGACAAAGAGAGAGAGACAGAGACAGAGAGAAACAGACACAGAGAGACAGAAACAGAGACAGAGAGACAGAAATATAGCCACAGAGACAAAGAGAGAGACAGAGACAGAGAGAGACACAGAGACAGAGATAGAGAGAGACAAGCAGAAACAGATAAACACAGAGACATAGGGGGAGAGAGAGAGAGAGAGAGAGAGAGAGAGAGATGAACCCACTCTTCTTAGCCTGTCTGCCTGGAGCTATTTCCTCATATTGTCAAGTAACTCTGTAGCCCTGCTGGACTTTTTGAGGGTGTTTTGTTGGTTTTTTTTCTTCTTTCCAAGCTGCAACCTGAAACCCTGGCGCCCAGTGTGGCCTCTGGACTCTGGCTTCTCCCGGGGAGATCCACTTCCTCTCCCAACTTCTATCTGCATATTTATTTACATTCCCCATGGAGGGCCTCTGCAAGCCTGGGGTTTATTTTTCAGGAAGGAATCAGGAAATGTGGTGTCGGTGCCCCCTTCCCCAACCCGCTCTGCCTTATCTTATTTTTGCACAAATAATGTGCATAGGTTTTTTTGTGTGTGTGGGGGGGATGGTTTTCTTGTTTGTTTTGGAAACCATACACCCCATTATCAGGTTCATTTCCTGTGGGGGTCATCTGTGGGTGCGTGCTTGGTTTCCTGTGCATGCCATATGCATGTGTGTTTGCTTTTCTAAATGTTTTATATTTACAAATGCTAGGTTTTCTGTATACAATATATGCATGCATTTTTTTCCTATGTATATTGATGCATGCTAGTTTTTCTGTGCACAATATATGCATGCATGCAAGCTTGTTTTCTGTATATATATTTCTATTATATTCATGCATTCTAGGTTTTCAGTGCACAATATATGCATGCATGCAAGCTTGCTTTCTCTCTATATATTATATTCATGCATTCTAGGTTTTTAGTGCACAATATATGCATGCAAGCTTTTTTCTATGTATATTATATTCATGCATGCTAGGTTTTCTATGCACAATATATGCGTGCATGCAAGCTTGTTTTCTGTATATATTATATTCATGCATTCCAGGTTTTCACTGCAC